AATGTTTATCATTGATTGCATGAACTTGGAAATGATAGAGGCATTAGGTTTACCACTATGGCCCAAATAACCATGTTTCCCAAATAAAAATAATATCATTAGATTGCCAATTTGAGCCGTGTATGTTGAGCCTTTTATTTCTTACCACTAGATATGTCTACCTTTATACCTGAAATTTTTTTTTCCTTACCCTTTCCAAGCAAGCTAGTGAGCAATGTGAGATTGTCTTATGAGAAATGTTTGTGAAGTACTTTGAAGGTGTTTGGCAAAAGAATAAGTGTGGGGGTATTTCATGTTTGTATTTAAAAAAAAAAAAAAAAAAAAAAAAAAAAAAAAAAAAGAAAAGAAAAAAGAAAAAGAGAGATTGTATACAAAGAAAATAAAAAGTTTTTAAAGTTTCAGTTTAAGGGGGGTGGTTGGAGGTGCGAGAAGAATCGCGGGAAAGCTTGAGTTCTTATAAATCTAAACAAAAGAATTGCTTGCAATGTAGCTTGGAACTTGTGTTTTCCTATTCTTTCGTTTCAATAACCCTATCCCTAAGCCTCATTACATCCAATAAAAGTCCTCTTGATTTAAGTTTTGCAATTATGAATGTGGAGAAGTGATCTTTATGCAAGCTTATGGTAGAACTTTCACATTTGATTCTTTGAGCGAAACACATTAAAACTAAACACATGTGTGATTGAGTGCATATCCCGTGAGAAGGTTGCTAGTTTGCATATGATGATTTTAAAAATATAAAAATTTTGAAATTGCATTAGCATGGCTATCTCACACACTACACTTCAAGGATGATTTAAAGATTACTGCTAATATTTGAATTAGGAAGATGAACTTGGATTAGTTCCTTGATGCTAGCTATGGTTCTTGATGATTTGTTTTCTTGAATGAAATTCTATGAGGGTCACATAGGGGGAAGCTAATGTCTTTCTTGTTACTTCTTGTTCTTGTTTTCTTTGTTTTGCTCGAGGACTAGCAAAAGTTAAGTGTGGGGGTATTTGATCGGATCATATTTATATATATTTTTACTTCAAATTCACTCGTCTTTTCTTAGTTAGTTCCTTATAATTTTGAGCTATTTACGTTATTTTTGTGTTTATAGGATTTGTTATGCAAAGAAAATAAAAATGGCACAAACTTGTTATTTACTCACTAAATTTTGTCAGGTTGGAATCAGAGTTTGCACTGGGGTTAACTTAAAGATGTTTCAGGTGGAATGGTGAGTAACGCACAAAGAAAAGAAGTAGCAAGGCTGCCAAAAAGAAGAATAAAATAAAAGAGGAAAAGCAGCACTTGGCTGCCTGGGTGGAACAAAAGAAAACAAAAGAATAAATGAAAGCTGCTGAGTGCAGCGTGGTAGGTGGGCAGCGTGGAAGAGAGATAAGCAGAAGAAAAGTCAGAAAAGGGAGGATAGCAAAGCAGCGGAAAAAGGGCAGTGTGAAACGTGGAAGTGGGCTGTCTTGGAGCACAGGATAAGAAGAGAGAAGGTGCAGAAATAAAAGGGAGGAAATATAAGGGAGAAAGCGAGGTCAGAGAGACAGAAGTGGGAAGGAGAAAGGGGCTGCCCTTTGGGCAGCTCGCAGAGACGCAGGAAGGAGAGAAGATCAGCAGGGACGCAAGGCAGTGTGACGCGGGGGGAAGCTGCCATTTGGCAGCGTGAACTGAAGAGAAGGACTGACAGCAGCGGGCAGGTGGAAGGGCAGCATGAGCTGGATAAGACACGGGAAAGCTGCAGGAAAGGAGAGGGCGCCAGCGAGGCGCAGTTCACACGGGCACGAACGCAACAGATCATCTTCTTTCGGTTTAATCTTTCCAAACTTCTATTTTATTTCTGTTTTAATAATGTGTAACTAATTTTATTTTGGCTAGAGGTTAATTCAAAGCCATGAATATATTTGTAATATGAATTGATTACCTTCGGTTGTGATTTCATAAGTTGTGAATTCAATTTACTTATCCGTTCGTATAAAAACTGATTTGTGTATGTTGGTTGAGAGTTGAGAGTGCACGCTTAATTTACATGCATGATGAATTTGATGCTAGAATATAAGTGAATTTCACCTAATCGTTATGAACTTATATTCACAAGTAGTAAAGGTTGCTAGTCACAATCACGTTAAGTAAATTCTTGGCATAAGTTTCATGCAAATCATAGTAACGAGTGTCCCGTCAATGCTTATGTTTTTCATAAAACTTAAATGATTCTTGCTTGTATCTCTATTATGCAACTTCATGTAGGGAACTTGTAGGGAATGTTTTGGGTTGTCGTATGCAATCATCCAACCCAATAACTTGTGGAAAAACTGAGGGTTAATTAGTGCAATTCACGGTTAATTTGGGGCGTTGAGTATTCATAGCTTTATCGAAAAGCAACTGGAAATCATTTTGTATGCAAGTATAACATGTGTGGAGAAGAACCCTCTAGCTAGTCCGTCATTTATCATTTTACCTTAATTTTATGTTTTTGTCAATTCTGTAATTTAATTAAGTTTAATTTACTTTTCATCAAAACCAAACACCATCCATTATTAAATTATATTATTTAGTTAGTTTTCTTTATTGTTAGTCTTTTAATTTAATTTCCGTCAATTTCAGTTCCTAGTGTTTAATTTAATTGTTTTCATTATTTTGAGTCATTTTAAGTGTGTTTCGAGTTATTAGAGTTTTTCGCCTAGTTTTGTGTCCTTGAGTCTTATTTAATATTTTTAAATTAATTCAGAATAGATTAGCAATCCCTCCTAATCCCCGGCCTAGAACGATACCCTACTTACAACTATACTACAATTGTCAAAAAGAGGGTTTAATTTGTGTGCTTATATATTTCGCATCAAATTTTTCGCAAACTAAGTAAGCCTCCTTAATCAACACACAAGAATAAGTTATCAATCAAATAGATAAGTAAATCGCATTTATATTTTACGAAACAATAACTGAAAGGAATCAATTCATATTAACATATGTCCATGGCTTCAAATTCACCACTAACTAATAAGAATTTAGTTCCACATGTTCATATCAATTGAAAACCAAATTGAAATAGACATCGAAACTGAAACGAAGGAAGAAAGAACTCTTAAAACTCCCAAGGATGCAGATGGCTTGCGCACAAGGCCCTCCTTCATCAATGGAATGCATGACAAGGCTCTCCTTCTTCTCCAAAAGGTGCGGCAGAGATGTATATGGATGTAGGATGGTGTTTTGTGATGTAGAATGGTGATTAGGGTTGCGGCAAGGTGTTTCTGAATGGTGTGAAGGGTGGTGACGAATTTAGGCTTTAAAAACACATAGATATAGGCACGGCAAAGCTAGGGTTTTCACAAATTTGATGGGAAAAGGTTAGGGTTTTGGAGATAAAAGGCTTGGCCCATCCAAGGGAGAAAAGAATTAGGGTTTTATGCAGATTTTTAGGCTTCTAGAACACTAGGTGCGGCACAACCCTAGGGTGGATGGATTAGGGTTTAAACTTAGCAGAAAATAAAGGATTAGGGCCCTAGGATGCGGCATGGGCTTAGAACAAAGCTGAAAAAGGATTAGGAAACTTCCAATTCAAGAGTAGAAACTTTCAAGAATGGAAACCTCCAAGAATAGCAACTTCCAACTTTAGAAACTTTGGTTTCCAATTCTGAACTCTTTGTTCTTCATGTTCATTTCTTCATTTCTTGCCTCCTTTGATATTCAATTTCGTCCATCCATTTGACTCCAAGCATGTGATATCCATTTTATGCTCAAAACTGCTTCAAAAGGCTCTAAATTGCACTTTTTCACCAACTTTGTCATTTGGACCTACAAACACACAAAAATAGCTTAAAACACTATAATAACCACAAACTAACTATAAAAGTGCAAGAAAACAAGCTAACTAAGTTGCATAAATATGCTTCTATCAGAAATCGAAGGCTTTGTGGATACATAATTAATCGAAGCAACGGAAAAAGTGGACAAACCTGCAGCGTTTTCATATGCATGGTTATTACCAGAAATATGGTTATGATTTTATGCAAACTTCAATATGGAGAATAAGATGGAATCAATTGGAAGGGCCACTACAACATTGGCATGGTTTTTTTATGAAATAAAGAAGCCATGTTGAAATACAGTAAACCTGCTCAAGATTGGCTAACTAGAAAGGATGCTAAGTAAGCAATGGAGTGGATAACACTTGAAGCCTCAATTTAAAGTGTCACATTCTGTTAAACAACTTATCTGAGGCATTTAACTAGTCCATATTGCGTCATGCTTTCAATGGTATCAAGGAAAACTACTTGTGAGAGATGGCATGGCCATATAGTAGGTCCAAGAATCCAATGGATTTGAAGTCACACATCAAAGTGGGAGGCAAATTGTGGTAAATTTGCAGGATCGCACATGTTCTTGCAGAAGCTACGATTTAAGTGGCATTCGGTGCCCCCATGCTTGTGCTGCAATCATATTTTTGACAGAATAGCTTAGTGATTTTTTTAAGATTTATTTTGTGTAACTAATCTGAGATTAATTTTTTATGAGTGAAACTTGTGGTTAGGCCAATTTCGATTGGAAAAACATTTTGGAATTGGTTGGTCATGTTTCCTTTTTATTGTAATGAGTACTTTTCAAGTGCAAAGTTTTCATTGAACTAGTACATTTTTTTTTTAAAAGATACGATAGTTGATTTCATTTCATCATAAAATACATTACAAGAGTTTGTCCATCTCTAAGCATAGAGTTAAGTACAATCCTCTACAAGTATATCAGTTAAAATACTAGGTGGAGAACCAAACCATTCACAACTTTGTATTAGAGATAATCCGACTTTTGCAAGGCGGTGAGCAGCTATATTTGCGTTGCAACGAATGTAGGTGATATTTGCTTCAGTGATTGTGTTGAGCAGCACTTTGCAATCCTCTGCAACTTGTCCAATGATAGACGAATTGAGAGTAGGATCTCTCAGCGCCTGAACAATCTGAAGTGAGTCCGTTTCAATAATAAGGAATGATAACTCCTGTCAATCGCCTATTGCAAACCTGCCCTTACTGCCATAGCTTCCGAGATCAATGGGGAGGATACATCATCAAATCTTCTAGTAGTAGCAGCCAAAACACCCGTTAAAGTCCATGATAATGGCACCGAAACCAGCAACAAGTCTTCCTGCATTCCAGGACCCATCAATATTCATCTTAAGTCGTCCTCGGGGTGGGACGATCCATTTGGGGATGTTCCTCAGTCTGCTCTCCTGCTCCCGGCTTGCGTTTGTGGTATTTGAAAACTCCAGCCACCATTGGATGGCTCGATTAGTGCATACCTCAGGTGGTTCCAGTTTTTCCTCCCAAAGTATCATGTTTCGTGCTCTCCATAATGCCCAACAAACCATCAGAAACGCAGTGAAACATGTCTTGGGTAGAAGATCCGCCACCTCATCGATCCATACTTTAAAGGAAGGGGGATGATTGTTCCTTAGAAGTGTACCAACCTATGAGCTCATCCACGCACATCTCGCATAATGGCAGTCCTTCATGAGATGGATGGTAGTTTCACCATGGGCTCCACACAAAACACATTCCACGTCCGTGGTGATTATGTCTCGCCACCAGATTTACCCTAGTAGGAACCAATTCATTTGCAAGTCTCCATACACAGATTTTTACTTTCGGTGGCACCTGAGCATTCCACACCTTCGCCTAGACTTTGGTTCCATCACCACTCAAGAACGATGCCCCTCTGTTCGTGGGTTGTAGCCAATTCCTTGCCACATGGTAAGCCGACCGAATCGTAAATCTTCCGTGTCTCTCATGGTGCCACAATAGGTAATCTGGTGGGTTTCGTATACTTAGTGGGATTGTCTGGATCAGGGTTACCTTTTCGGCGGAGAAGAGGCTTTCTAGCACATCAATCTTCCAACACTTTACCAAAGGATCAATCAATTCATCAACCATTTTCAGCGTGCATCCCACCTGTTGGAAGAGTAAGGGCGGAATCGTGATGGGACGGGGATCCAAGGGTCCTCCAGATACGAATAGATTGTCCAGTTCCTACCTGTCATCTTTGACCCAAACTTATAACTTTTCGTGCAGTGCAAATACTTCTCCAGACATACGATGCTCCCGACTTCAAAGGGGCCTCCATAAAAGAGGTAGTTGGAAAATACTTAGCCTTTAGGACCGATGAAACCAGAGAGTATGGATTAGTGAGCAATTTCCACCCCTGTTTTGATAACATAGCCAAGTTGCATGCATATAAGAATCGAAACCCAAGTCCACCCTCTCTTTTTGGATTACACAGGCTTTCCCACGAACACCAATGCATTTTCTTTTCTCCTTCATCACCACTCCACCAATAAGATGCAACCATCTTGTTTAGCTAATCACAGAATAATTTTGGAAGAAGAAAACAGCTCATGGAATAGTTTGGGATTGCCTGAGCCACACCCTTCACCAATACCTCTTTCCCAGTGGCGCTTAGTAATTTCCCATTCCAACTCTTTAATCTCTTCCAAATGCGATCCTTAAGATAACTAAAACATACGCTTTTGTTCCTTCCCACAAAAGTTGGCTTACCCAGGTATTTTTCATGCCGCTCCATCCGATTCACCCCAAAGATCCCGGCCAGTTTAAGTTGCATAGACCGCTTCACATTTCTACTAAAACATGCTTCACTTTTCTCAAGGTTTACCTTTTGCCCTGAAGCATGTTCATAAACCTTTAGGATTTCCCGTACCTGCTTGTAGTCAGACTCTGTTGCTCGACAAAACAGCAGACTATCATCTGCAAATAACATATGATTAATTGATGGTGCTTACGGACAAATTGAGATGCCTGTTATTAAGCCCTGCTGTTCTCGCTGGGCAATCAAAGCTGACAGGCCCTCAACGCACATAATAAATAAATATGATGATAAAGGATCTCCCTGATGTAATCCACGTGATGGAAGAATATATCTCCGTGGGCAGCCATTAACCAATACAGAGTAAGAGACCGTGGTCACACATAGCATGATGAGTCTAATCCAACGCTGAGAGAACCCTATCTTAGTAAGGATTCGATGTAAGAACCCCCACTCAATCCGATCGTACGCCTTATTGATATCTAACTTTAGTGATGCAAAACCTTTCTTTCCTCGGCACCTTCTAAACAGATAATTTGCAATTTCTGATGCTAGAATGGTATTATTAGAGATATCACGACCTGGCACGAAAGCGCTTTGTGTTTGTGAGATGATCTTGGGGATAATAACCTTAAGGCGATTCGCAAATACCTTAGAAATGATTCTGAACAGGACATTGCAGAAACTGATGGGTCTAAACTGAGCTACCTCCTCCGGTTGTTTTGATTTGGGAATAAGGCTGACATACGTGAAATTAATTTGCTTTAACAATCTCCCTGAGGCCTAGAAATTTTTTATCGCATTTGTAATGTCCTCCCCAACAATGTTCCAAAATTTTTGGAAAAAGAAGGGATTATTCAGTCTGGGCCCGGGGCTTTAGATGGTTGCATATGAAAGATTGCCTCTCTAACTTCCTCACCCGTAATTACCTCTTCCAGCATACAATTCATCTCTGCCGTTACCCTTGAATCCACTGCCTCAATAACTTCGTCATCCTGATTGTTCCCAGTAGTTTGGAAGATGTCCTGAAAATAATGAATCACAGTGCTTTCAATCCCTGTATCATCATAGACCCAAGCGCCCCTTGCATTTTTCAACCGTTTTATTGAGTTCTTTGCCCTTCCTTTCCTAGCCCTTTGGTGGAAGAACTGTGTATTGCGGTCGCCAGCCTTAATCCACAAAGCCCAGGATCTTTGCCTCCAATACTTCTCCTCATGACCCAAGAGTTGATCAAGTCTCTGCATTAACCGGTGTCGTTCAGCCAATGCATCATCTGTAAGTGGTTGGGCAAGTATAAACCCCAACTTTTGACGCACTTTTTTAATCTCCTCCTGCCTCCCTTTGAAAACTGATTGCTGCCATTTCAGTAAAGCTACCCTAGTAGCTTTAATTTTGTTCACTATCTGAAACATTAACACACCGGTATCCGGTTTGTTCCAAGCATCATGGATAATGCCTTCACATTCCTCGTGATCAGCCCAAAAATTTTTGAACCGAAACATCTTGCTTCTGCGCCTAACACAGTTATGTGGTCCATCTAACTCAAGAAGAATAGGCACATGGTCTGATTTCCTAGGATCAAGATGAGTGACCTTTGCGTTGCTGAATAAATTGTTCCACCCATTTGTCGCCATCATCCTATCTAGCCGTTCTTTGATACCCCTGCCCTGGTAGTAATCCAGGTGTAAGGAGTTCCCAAGAAACCCAAATCGTGTAGGTGGCAATCGCATACTGCATTCTGAAATGCCATTATTTGATTCATTGGACGAACTGGTCCCCCTTCCTTCTCATGGATACCCAATAATTCATTGAAGTCCCCTCCAATCAGCCATGGAAGGGAGCAACTCGTAGCTAATTGCCGCATAATATCCCAGGATATTTGGCGCTCCTTAGTTGCCTGGTGTTCGTAAAAGCCGGTGAATCGCCAATGAACTGCATCGCCTATTGCTCCAATCTCAGAGTCAATAAATCTCTCTGAGGAAGAAATGATTCTCAAGTTGATATCTCCAGACCAAAATAGCCCAAGTCCTCTCGACTGTCCATTTGAACTAACTCCGAATACTCTTCTAAAGCCCAACTTTATCCTTAGGCCATTTAGAAACTCTGCCTTGCACTTGGTTTCACATAGGAAAACCAATTTGGGATCTTTTTGCTGGATAATATCCTGCAAAGCCTGAACTTTCCGAGGGTTCCCAAGCCCTCGGCAGTTCCAAACTAGTAAATTCATGGCTGTCGGCGAGGCTGAACATTGTCAACCTCCACCGATGATACAATTCTTGATTTACTGTTTCCACTGCCCAGCAACCTACATCTCTCAGCTTCCTCCATCTCTTTTGAAGGGCTAACCACCACCTCGCACCATTGTTCCTCATGTTGCTTGAAATCAGTATAGTTGGTCGTCGTGGGTCTCCCTCTTGATAACCTCCCCTGCGTCTAAAGCTTTTCTTTTTCAGGTTTGAAAGATGTAGGGGGCGCCCTCGATTAGGGTATCTTAATGTCTTTTACTTCTTAGTTGGTGGAGTAAGAAGCGGAAGAAGGAGCACCACATCATTTCTCATCCCTGCATTCGGATCACCCCCTAGCTGGGCCTTAACCCTAACCATTGGGCCTTGATTTGTTTCCCCATTAGCCGTTACTTCATCTCTAGAGTCCATTTTACTTTGCACACTCCTATTTGAGGCTTGAAGCATTTGGGTCGCCACCATCATGCTTTGGGCTTTCACATCTGAAATACTTGTTCCCGGGGGGAAACAATCTATCACAGTGAATTTTGTGGGCCTAGTTCGCCCCAAATCCTGGGCCTGTAGCATTCCATCTTCATTTTCAAAAGGCCAGGGGGGAATCCTTTTTGGGCCATACCAATTATTCTCCAGAGAAAGCCCATTTACAGCAATAGTAAAGGTTCCGTTTGTAAATTGGGTATCATAGCTGTCTGGGTGCCACGTATGCCCATAGTCCGGTCGTGTGTCCAATCGTGATGTAGGAATATGCCCATTCTCAGAGTTTGTCCCCGCCAGATGTAGCGTCATTTTCTGCTCTACGTGTGAGACCAACCTTGCAGACGTACCAGCCCCGTCTGTGCACCCTGGCCTCGTGTCAGTATTGTCAATACTTGTTTTCATCATGTTGGCCTGTTCCTCCGCCCTTTGACGTTGCAAGTAACTGTTCGCCGGAATATCCATTGCCTTGTCCGGCAGGCCATAGAAACCACCCTCGCATTGTTCGCATTTTCTTCTCCGATGGATTTCACGAGCCCCGGTCACCGTAACCTCCATTCTTTGCGGAAATAGCAAAGCACTTACCTTGGACACATGTGCTACCCTTAGATCACCATTAAATCGAGTTCCTCCTTCAGGCGAAAGTGTCGCTAGACGAGGACATGCACTTGAGTGGCCCAATCTCCCACATTGATAGCAGAAAATTCTGAATCCTTCATATTTGAATCGGATCTTATAGGATCCTCGGGTAGGGCATGGCACTGAGCAGCATGTAAACAAGGGTTGACAAGCATCAAAATCCATCATAATCCTCAAGAATCCCCGAAAACCCACCTCTGCTGGGTCTTCAACTTCAAGAACCGTTCCGATTTTTGTCCCCAGACTTCTAGCGTTTTTCTCTGTACAGTAGTTTCTGGGTATCCCATAAGCCTGTATCCAATAAATAGCTCGATCCGCTTCAATGTCATCTAGGGAGTGGTAAGATGGCCAGAACTTCACAGAAAATGTATAATCCCTGATA